GGAGTGTGGGGTAGTAGATTGTGTATAACAAAAAATTTTATAAAATTTTTAAAATATTCTATAGATTATATTAATTTATACACAAATAAATTAATCACATTAATTTATTAATTAAGAATTCGAATAGAAATTATACCTAGCGACTGATTAGAATGATAACTTGAGTTCTTTGACCTCGAACAATCCTCGCTCCAATGTTTTGTTTAGAAAACCCGAGCATTCCGCGTCAATTCCTTGAATCTACGAAAACGTGTGTGTGGGCATACCTGAAACAAAACGGGTTAACAAAAACACTCAAGAATTTCTACGAACACCACACATACACGACGTGGAATGTTTTGGAGAAAATTTTTCCTCTCACAACCCTTGTGAATTTCCGCCACTATAAAAATAAGAGCAAAAAATTGTTTCCAAAAATGTGTCACGCAATTTTCTACTATCTCCTTATTTATAAAATAGTAGTTAGACTCCTAGAAGAAGTCTCATATTTATCTCCAAGATAAAGCTTATCAATTATCTCCCATTTGAATTTGGAACAAATTCTCCCTTTCTTTATCCACTAAGGGCCGGCCATAGACAGGGGATTTTATCCCTGTGTAAGCGCCAATATCAGATAGGGAAGGAAGAGAAAACCATCCTTTATCCTACAATCCAATTTAACTCAAATTCAAATTTCAATTTAAGTCAAACTCAAATTAATTTAAATTTTAAATTGAACAACTTATCAAATAAGTTTAAATGGATAATTCCACAAGTGTTCATACTATGTATTCACACTGTATCTTGCGTTCACACTATGAGAACACATTCACATAAGTGATCCAAAATTCAAATTTAAATTTAAATAAACACATTATTTAAATGATAATTAATTCTCAATTAATTATCCTTGAGTGTTTAATTTTAGAATTCTGTAATTCTAAAATTCTCATTTTGTACTTTAGTGTCTTGCAGAATTATAAGGATGATGTGGGGATTCATGGACCTATAATTTTGAGCTCCAGTAAAATTAATAATTAATTAAACACTTTAATTAATTAATTAATCTTATTAATTCCAATAGTTACTCCACTATAAACTTGAAACTATTGGAATTGCACTTTCGTAATTATAGATATAAATTACTTTTGAACCGTGAAGTGTCCATGTGATGTAGTCACTGTATATAGATTAATCCTCCATAAATAATCCATAATTAGAGCTAGGTGAAATCCGTTAACCTCTCTAATTACATCTTTATCCTTAAGTACCATTGATTCTCTAATGGACAGTGATATATAAAACACATTCATGAATCGGAGCTCCTACTGATCCAAGTACCGAATCAACCCTCAAGAGAATTATTTATCTACTTCTTTCTCAAGAAGGAATGGATTTCATCTCGTATAATAACATTCCTGGCTACCTACTTCATCATGTCTCCAAAATACAAGGAATATGATTCAGGATCTCGTAATTCGTACCGAGTAAATCAAAAGATACAAATCCATAAATAGGAGTCTGCTAAGAACTCATGATTGAGATCATTCTTTATATGACCATCGGTAGACTCAATTAGAATTTCTATACTTCATGGAATTTATTAGAAATTCATGTTGTTTCTGTGTCCTTGTTCCACATAATCTCATTATGTGAGATACACTCATTCAATATATCGTCATATTAACAGTGCGGATAACACCGTTCCATTCTAAATGAAAATGACATGTATTAGTAATGTTTTAATTAAAGATTCTAAAGTTTAATTAAATTCATTACGAACACCGTTTTTTTTTAATATTATCCTTAAACATTATCCTCTCACATATAACACTTATATACAACGTTTAATGTCACATAAATAATCATAGAATTTTCATTGATATTCATAAAATATTCATAAATATATGCACATAAAATAATGAATAAACTCTTTTATTAAATAAATAATGAATATCATATTACATCTCATACTTTTAGGACATTATTCTCAATAAGATATGGACGAGGCAAGATTTTTGGGTATCAGAATATCTTCCATACTCGTCCTTACCTAAAAGATAAGTTAAACAAATAGGGAATATACTAAAATACTAGCACATTGTTTTTGGTCATCATGATAACCTAGCTATATTAATCGAACATTTAATTCCTACTTTAAAAAAAAAAAATACATGTAAACTATGCCCATATGAGCTTATAATGGCCTAAGAATAATGGAATATTCAGGAATGTACCATGGGAATGAACGTTTTCACTGGAGAAAATATTTCTTTGTTTTCTTTCTACATTTTTAGAAAAATCTCTCCAGCCACTCAGCATTGTCCTATATGCCTGGTGTTGACATAAAATAATATGATAATATTTTCCTTCGGCCTTAGTTGTACTAAGATTCTCAAAGATGCCACGTTACACAAATGATTCAGATCCACCGCCATGCAGGCATTTAATTTAGCCGTCTCTTTCTCCCTTTTCTTTCTTTTGTTTGATGGACCGTCTCTTTTCTTCATCTTACTCTTATCTTTTGGTTGGGTAACGAAACCTATAATTGGTTTCTCCAATTTTTTAAGCCAGAGTGTCCCAATCTAACATTTTGGACAGTTTTACAATAAAAATAATAGTACCCCTCAATGCAATCTTTTATTCATGCTGATAAATTTGATTATTATTTCATATGCATCACGCTTAATTTGTTTTTACATGCGGATTTGATTATTTTGATGACCTTTAACAAAGTACGTGAATCTTTTGGACATTTGCGTGAGTACTTGATCATTTTAATTTTGAATCAATAACCCTTCATGATCTCCTAGAACTTATCCTTTGGTTATGGGAATGGCTCAAATTAATGTATTAATACAGTTAAATGGCTTCTTTAATTGGCGAATAACGAATATTCATGTTGCACACGAATGTGCGAATAAGTGGCATACAATGAAGGGCATAGCCGCATAGCAATTATATAATATCATATTCATGAAGAAATTACGGCGAAATTTCATAAACTAAAACTTACGGTTCCAACGAGTATATTAAAATCGACATTAGTCTTTAAAATTTATAGATATTTGATTTATATAAAAATAATAATGATAAGAGGTTTAAATGGTTTTTTTTTTTTTTTTTTTTTTTTTTTTTTTTTACTATAGGGTACATATATCTATTAGTGCGTGTATTGTAACGTTAAAGTTCATCAAATCTCACATCAAAATGAAAGTACATAAAACTAACAAAATTTAACACCGATTTAATAGTTTGAAACGTAGCGATTGAATGTTTTTTTTTCGTACCATGTCTCAATTTAAATACTAGAGACTAGTACTTATGTGAATGAGGATTCCTCAACAAGATAGAACAATATTTAAGAGATCATATGTTGATTCAGTACATGACAAGGCAAGCGAATAGATTAGGGCAGGTTTTGGTTCCATCTAAACTTTCTCAACCTGATCCAAAATCCATTCACTCAACTTCATGAGGAAGTTAGTAGATATTGAACTTTTCAACGATCAAGAAACTGACTTCTAAATTTTCAATATCAACCTTATTAATACAGCTAGCAGTACTCGTCTATTTTGGTGGGTAAGCATTGACAAAAAAGAAAAGGAAAAAAAAAAAAACAAAAACAAAAGAATATATTTTTGTCAAATCATGATATGTTTATAAATGAACGGACTGTACTGATCTAAAACATTCTCAAATGCTATGATACGAAGATAATGCTTGGCTTCTACGCTACCTTATATATGCTTTAGGGGCATCTATAGCTCATGGAAGGTTGCATTGGATATCTTCAACTATATATATTTAGGCCATATTCATTTCGCTCATTCGAGTTTAGAATTCGAGTTTTGTTATAGTAAAAAGCTCTCAGAAATAGTCACATCTAACTTTTTTGCTACAGTAAAAAGCTCTCACACAACATCACCTCTTAACTCGAATTACAAAACTCGAATTAGCGAACCAAACGGGTTATTTCGTTCATTTCTTGATTAGAAAGACTTCTCACGGGTCAAGATTATTCATTGTCAATGTTCAATATTTGATTATATAATCTTTTCGTGCAGAGCTCGATCTCCCCTCGTGACCTAATATCTGTCTTATGTAACGCATTGCAAAATATAGATTTCTATGTACTATATATTTTCAAAAGATATATTTTGGCAAAATGATATGATGAGAACAGTAAACGAGCACTTGTATTTATCCTAATGTAGTGAATACAATTCCATTAATACATGTCAAAGATAGGATAACTTTTAAAAAAAAAAAAAAAAAGTACGTATCAATTTAAGAATAGGTTTTAAATGAGAATAAAGCTATATAGAATTTCTTGTAATAAACACACTGGTTGATATAACAGAATCATAATTAAACATACTTCACAGATCTCACAAACAGGAGAGGCTAAAAAAAAATATCAAATGTTTTTTTTTTTTTTTCTTTTCTCGCCCCCTCAACTATGACTGAACTGACAAGTTACTTCACGAACTTTTTAATTGTTGCAAATACCACATGAATTCAATAAAATGTTAAGAATGTCCACATTGATGGATAGTACTAAAATTTGGAAGGAAATTAATGTTCTCATGCATTTGCTATGACGTGCTTTGATTGTTATCTGAATTCTCAATCTCTTCTTTTATAAAAGCTCATGTAATGTGTATTCAAGGAAATTAGTTGTAAATGTGGCAAATCATCACATAAATTTAATAAAATGTTTAGAGTGTCCACAAATCGATGGATATATACCAGTAAAATTTTCATCTATTTCTTGAAATAAGCTCATGTAACATGTATGAAGCTATTTTTATCCAAATTTTAATGGTCATCAATAATTTGAAAATGTTCTTGATAGTTTTTTAAAACTTATAAGGGATTTTTTCATAATTTTATAAGAATTTCGAGAGTCCCTTGTCAATCATGAAAAATTGAAGAGGCATATATATGTTAGATACCTAAATCAAAATTAAGAAATGACCAGAATGAGCCTAAGCACCAGAGTATTATTTCCTCTTTCGAATTCAGTATGTTGTTTAACTTTATTCCCATTTCAAAACTACTTAACTCTACACTTTTCAGTCCAGCAAGAACGAGAGAAGTAAAAAAGAACGAAAGAAAACAATCAGAATGGTGTGTGGTCATATAACACTTTTCTCTACTGCACATACTGGTTACAAAATTTCAAATCATTCTCAAATGAGAAGATCAAAACGCAGGGGAAGATGTGGTCGTATGAGTGGAGGATGAGGTGGCTGGGGAATTGGAATGTTGGACACCTCCACTATGGCTGATCCTTTCTTCGGAATGAGAGGAATCGGACTGCTTCTTTTGCTGCAGTCTGTGGACCGCCATGTGCTGGATTGCAGGCGGCGGTGCTGCCACCGGGGCGTAGATTCTGTTGGCAGCGGTGGTGACGCTGGAGGGATCGCCCAATGCTGCAGCTGATGCCGCTGCCGCGGCGTATTCGGATGGCTGCACCCATATGCCCCCCACAAAAACTACTTGTGGCGTTTGTCCATTGCCATTGTTTGGGGTGGCTGGAGTTGGTCTTCTAGTGTGCAAACGGTATTTCTGTAATAAAATGGAAGATCATATAGGTTATTACTTATTACATTGTTTAAGCACAATGCAAATTGAGAATTGAATTTCATATAAACTCTAACAAAGTTTGGTGATTGGCACTTAATATCATGCAACATATATATATATATATATATTGGTAGAAATCATGCAACACTTGTTGACACTTGAAAAACATTACATACAAATAGGTTCCAATTCACAAAACATAAGTCAAAGAAGCATGTTTTTGCTTAGTGGTCCTTTTCATGTACAATTGTCTTTTATGTTTTTTTTTTTTTTGGGTACCTATTAGAGTAGTTCTACAGTATGACCTACGTCTTCTGAAGAGTTAACTGTGCTGCATATTGCATATTTAAGATTTCTTAAAGGCAAAAGTATATCAGCAAACACATGGTTATACTGCTAGAAATTTATATTTAAATCAGGACCAATAAAACAATAGCTTTGATTAATTGTTAAAATATCCCCAATCTCCTAAAACTTTTAAATGACAATTTATTAGGAAAAATCATCACATGATGATGAATTGTAAAAAATTGATATACACCAATTGTACATTAACAATTGGAACAAGATAATCACATATAACACAAACCTGCAAGTGGCTTTTGACTTCATCATTTGTTAACCCATCAACCTTCATCAGCTCCCTAATCTGCTTTGGAGTAGCAGCTGCAATAACAATCAATATATATATATATATATATATATATCAATATACATTTAATTAAATAAAAATTAAACCCCAATTAAATCCATAATAATCCAATCAAATTAGGAACTCCAGAAAAAAAAAAGAAAAATTGAATACATACTATGAGAACCACCAAGTTGTTGAAGGGCATTCAAGAATCTCTTATGCAACTCAGGCGACCAATTTCTCCTCTGCTTCCTCTGACTCTGTTGCCCTTCCGTCTCATCATCCCTCTTGCCAGAACTCGAACTCGCCGCCGGAGCAGACGCCGGTGCCGGCGCCGGCGACCCATTACGCTTGCCAACATTTTTCTCCCTTTGGAAAGGCTGAAAAGCACCCCCATTTCTCTTCACCTCCATAACCGAAGCTTTTTTAGGCACATCCTACAACCAAAAAAAAAAAAAAAAAGGCACACAAAATCAACATAAAGTTAAAAAGATAAAAATACTTTCCCAGTTTTAGTAAAGGTGTAAAAAAAAAATATATATATATATATATCTGCTTTCCTTTTTTCTTTATACCTCTTTTTGTGGTGCTGGATCTGGGGTTGGATTATTCCAAAGCTGAACAGATCTAAGCCAATCCGCTTTCTTCTTGTTATCAGCCATGTTATCGTTGTTGATGCTGGTCTTGCGCTTAGGAGATTGCTGCTCCTCATCCTCGTCATCTTCGTTATCGGAAGACGTTCTCTTCAAAGGAAGAAACTCCTCAAAAACACGTCCTTCACTTGAAGTCTGCTCCGAACACTCCGATTGCCCATGCAAGCACTCTGTGGTCGTCGCCGTTCCTGATAATTGTTGCTTACATCTCTCAATGGCTACAAACCAAATAAAGAATGTAATAAATAAATAAACAAATTTGGAGAAGAAGAAAGAAGAAATAGGTCTAGAAATGAAATTTAATAAATAAATAAAAAAGTGTAATATAAGTACTTTGTGTGACAAGCTCCAAGCAGTAAGGGAGTTCTTTCTGGAAAACCTGAATCTTTTTCCTTTCTTCCTCTAAAGTTTCAACATACTCTCGGAACCCAAGTCCTGAATAGTTCATTTTTTCTGAGAAATCCATGTTTTTTTTTTTTTTTTACTTATTTTTGGTTATTTGGGGTTTTGCTATTTTCTCTTTTGTTCCTCTGTTTTGAGTGTGAAAATGAGAAAGGTGGTTGTGTATATATATGGTGTGAGAAAGAATAGATCGATCCGAACAAGGGAAAGAAATTAAAGTGTTTTTGTTTTTTTTTTGGGTTTTGGGGTAATGGCCTTTCAGAGAGACGCATATGGGATCTATGTAGAATATTCAAGAGAGGGAATAATCTTGCTAACCAAGCAAAACCCAACAACTTATTTGACAAAACGAAATTTATTTATAAAAAGAAATGGTAATTAACGAAATTTAAAGACAATTTTAATCGGACGGTGTAATAAGAAAGAGAGAGAAAGACACCGAGGTCGGGGCGTCGCGTACAAAAACGAATCTTTGATTGGATTTTTCTGATTATGATAATAATATATATATATATATATATTTTTTTTTTTTTGCTGCCTAGAGAGAGGGAGGAAAGAAATAATAGCGAGAGTGGGTTTTCTTAGGTTGAATATTCGAGGGGGTGATTCCCTTTTCGTCTCCTATCTGTGGGCTGACATTGACGTCATCACCGACTCTATTTTTTTTTTTTTTACCTTTTCTGTTAATTATATTTATATTCTTGGATAAGTAAAGACTTTTTTCTTTTTTTTAATTTTTTATTTGGGTGTTTTTACTGTAAGATTTTTTATTGGTCATGTTTACTTTTAAACATTAGAGGTATGTTTATTATGATTTTTTTCGGTACAATATATTAATATATTAGTATATTAAGTTTTTTATCTGTTAAATCTGCATAAAATTATATAAAAATAAAAAAATGTGGATTTAACGGTTAAAAAACCTTACATATTAATACGTCAACCGTATTAAAGAATCTCTCATGTTTATTTGCATAACTCAAGTCATGATTTGAGTTGTGCATGTGAAAAAAAATATTATAATAAAAAAGTTCAATTTAAATTTTTATGAGAGAAAATACTGTTATAATATGATTTACGTCGTGAAATGAACAAGGCCCAAGAGTTTTAAACAACTCAATTTTTTTAAAAAAAATTCAAATTTTATGATAGAGGACATTATAATATAACATTTTAAATTTAAATTTTTATAAAAAAAATACTGTTTGAATCAGTTTGGTATGAATTTGAATCTCTCCTTTAAATGAGCCCTAAATACTGTTAAAATTATATCAAATAAAAAAAAAGAACAGACAATTTCCAGATTAAATAGAAGAAATAGAACATAAAATTTATAACCAGGATGTTATAAGCATAGAGCTACTGAATTGTTTTCAAAAGCTTTAGTAGAAATCTTTTTTTATTTTTTACTTATTTCTCTCTTTCTCAAAAAATGATATTTATATATATTTTTAATATCTTAAACGTTCTTTTTTTTTTTTTAGCAATATCTTAAACGCTCTTTCTTGCTGAATATACCTAAGTTTTTGGAGGACAAAGGAATCTCTCACGCGTGGACACGCTGTAGAACATGGCGTGAGATTTGTCCTCACCTTGGAGGCCAGAACCCTCACAAAGAGCGGCTCCTCACGGCCTCGAAGGGCCAACCATGTATTTGTCCTAATCCATTCGGTTCGGTACGGTCTCCTACGTCATCATTTCTTGCACCATTCGCTGAGTTGGCGCGTGGAAGGCAATCGTCCGTTTATTTTGCTGATTTGAGTTTTTAATTTGAATTGAGATGTAATTTTATATGAGAGTTTTTTACTGTAATAAAAAAATTAGATGTGATTGTTTGTAAGAGCTTTTTACTGTAGCAAAACTCGAATTCTAAACTCAAATTAATGAAATAAACGATGCCTTAAAATGCCCGGTAATTAGTGAAGATACAGTAGCACGTGTCCAAAAATTAGTTCGCGTTTTGAATTAAAAAAAAAAATAGTTTTTAAGAAGTTTTTGATGTCTGTAAAACAATAATGAGATAATGTTGAGGTGCAAGAGTTTTATCTAATTTTTAACTTATTACAAGGTGATTGGTTGGGATGGGAGAAACTCTTATCCAATTTAGTGAAAAACAAGCTTCACATTTTAGATTTCTTTTTCTTTGTAATCTTCTTCGATAATCTTTTGTTATCTTTCAAACGGGCTTGATTATGATAGGTTAATCATAATATTAATTTTCATATAGACAAAATATCTGAAATAGTAATGTTAAGGGAAAAATCAGCACCAAAATCACAACCATATATATGGATAACATTTGGAGAAGCAGGTCGACCACAATTAAGCGGCCGAAGGATCAACTCGAGAGACAACGTAAATTGGAGAAGTACGACGATAGGAGAGTCGTGAGGACCACCACAGATAAATGAAGAAAGAAAGTTACTTGGAGGCCACGAAGTCCAATCCAACCAAATCTAGTATTAAAGGCACGAATTCCGATCCACATTTGAGAGGAAAGCTACTATGAAGCAAATAAGAAAACAAATAATAAAAAAATCAATTAAAGAAAGAGTAAACTACCCATGCTCCAGTCGACAGCGCATCAGTTTAAGAAAAAAGGAAATTAGAGATCGTCTCTTGTAAATAGGGGGTTATGATCACGAATTGAACATCTCATTGATCTCATACATAACATTCAGACCTCATGCTTTACATTTTCTCCCTCTCTCTAAATTCTCTCTTCTTCTCTCTCCCATTCTTCTTCATCATTGTAATTGTACTTTTTAGATCGTATAGTGAAACCCCGACACCGAATAGTAGATGCAGCCTCCACATTGAAGGTGAACTACTATAAATCCGCGTGTTCATTTATTTCTAGCACTTTACGTTCCTGTTCTAGCGCTCTATCGATTCTAATTGACTCACCAACGCAATCGACACCCTGAAATGGTTATTAACTCTTTAAATAAATTTAATTGTAAAATATGACCTCTACATGTAACAATTTAAAAATGTAGAAGATCTTTTTTTTTTTTTTTTTTTTTTTTTTTTTTTTTTTTTTTTCACATACCAAATGATAAAATAGCATCCTTCAAAAAGAAAAAGTAAATAACAAAGTGTGAGAAATAATCTTAGAGAAATCGATTAGTCGAGCTCTTTTATTTAATGTTTCTTAATTCTGTAAGTTTCTTGCAAGTACTCTTCGAAGTTTATTATCATCATTGAAATTAAAAAAAAAAAATGAAACTTAGCATTTTGACTGTCACGCTCATTTGTTGATAAGCTAAATTTTATAACACAAGTGGTGAGTAATAAATCTTTTTTTCTCTTTCTTTTTACAGGAGAGTTTCAATCGGTAGATAAAATTCATTCAAATTATCAATACCTAAGTCTTGCCTCTGCTTTTTATGATCACGTGACGAAAGAAACTCTGGGTTATACATTAAATACGTATGCATGTATATTGTTATGACTCAATGTGATTATATTACACTACAAGAAAAAGGGCCATTAGCGACGATAAAAAATAGTTGCAAAATATGCCAAGTCGTCGCAAATAAATTTTTAACGACTACTGTCGCAAACCTGTCACTGCAGTTGAATAGTCACAAAAACAGTTTTTGCAACAACATCTTGTCGTCGCAATTATATTTTCGACGCCAATCGTCGTAAATAAGTCGCTACAATTATTTCGTCGGGTACATCGTTAAGATGACATGACATTAATTATTTGCGACGATATTTTTTTAATTAAGTCGTCGCAAAAGACGCAGTGGTAGCTGACGTGACATATATTTTTTGCGGCCACATTTATCGTCGCAAATAATATTTTAATTTTTTATTTATTTTTTCTCATTTTAATAATTATAATAAATATAATTCATTATATTAAATATAAATATAAATTAAATAAAAGAAAATAAATAATAAAAAATATAAATAAAAATTATTATGGTAAAAAGTAATTAATAAAATAAAAATGTAATTATAGTAGAAATGTGCAGAAGTACAAATTGTTATCTTAATAAACTCTAATCTCCTAAATTAGCAACATCACTAGAATTATCGTTGTTATTATCAGAAGGATTCGGAGGCGGATGACCTGGATGGACATACGGCTCAGGAGGAGTAACCGCTGGGAAAGTCATATTGGGGTACATTTGAGTGATGAAATCCTGCATTATTCTGATGCACTCGTACAGCTGGAGATTTTGCTTGTAAGTCCGTTGTAATTATTCTTCTACATGTGGGTCAGAACGTGTTGTAGAAGATGTTGCCGAGCGTGAGCCAGATGACGACGCATCGTAGCTCAGACAAGAGATCTCTAAATTCACCGTAATGCATATCTTCTATAATTATTTATGTCTCACCCATTGTCTCATGATCATCACTAATCCCAGCCATATCATTTAGCACTATAAACATCTCGTCAACAGATTCACTGACAGCTGCAGCAGCAGGACGTACTTCACCATGGTGAATCCATGTGGTGTAACTTGTATTAAAACCCCATCGATGTATGTGTGCTTTCACTGTTTTGGGTGGATGCTCTCATGATTTCTACACTTCATACACGGACAACTAATACCCCCCTCCCCCGAGTGAATTTGCATAATTCTTTTCAACCTCAATAAAAGCACATAAACCATCCCAGTACTCATCCGACAATCGATTCCTTAAATGTATCTAACTCTTGTCCATTGGCATCTCCACTACGAAGAATTTATAAAGTTTTATCAAATTTTATGAAAATTAACACAAACTATCTTATAATAAGTATTTAACATTAATTTATTTTATTATTTTATTATTAATATAATCTTAATTAAAAATATTATCTAATTTTTTAATTATCACATAATCATCATTAAACAAATTTTATACACATTTTAATCTAATTATCACATATTTCAATTTCAATTCTAATTTAAAATTGACAATTCTAAATTTAAAACCACAAACTATATCTAAAATCTAAAATAAAATTATAAATCATAACAAAAATACTAAAATCAATTAACAAAATATCAAAATATTACCTCACAAAATCCAATCCCACAAATACCGGGGGTTGGAGAAGGGTAAGGCAGCAAGAAAAGACGACGCCGGTGGCCGGAAAACGACTAGTGCGGCCGGAAAACGGTGAGTTTGGCCAGAAAAGTGGGAGGCGAGAGAGATGAAAACTCCACGTTTTTTGACTCTTTCTCTCCACAAATGAAAGATTTGAAGAGAAAACGATATTTTTAGCTATTTTCAATGTTTTTGGAGGTTTTGGACGGAGAGAGGAATGGAAAACGCAAGAGCTTCACTGGGAAAAATCGCAGAAGGAGGTCTGCGATTTCGTTTATGCAGGTTATTTTTTGTGACGACATTTTATCGTCGCAAAAAATATTAAATAGTCGTTGCAATTCATGTTAAAACGACGGCGTTCTTCTTCATCT